AAAGAGGGCACGTATTGAATGGAGCACTGGGTGTTATACGCAAACAATGAATCACGGAACACTACATCAAAAACTAATGATGTAATGTATGGTTATTAACATAACATAATAAAATTAAAAAAATAAAATAAAACTTCCTCTTTACCGTAAACCTGTGAGATTAATAGGGCAAGTATTACACTTTTTTGTGAAATCTCCATTTTTGCAGTGTGGTTAAGTAAGACATTCAGTAAACTGTAAGTGACAGAGATGAGAACTGGCTCTCTCATTAGAGTCCTTGACATGTTAAGGACACCTTGTGACTTTAATGGCTGCCTTCTCAGGTTTCAAGTTATGTTTCATAGCTCAAAGCTGGGCTTCAGTTAAAAAGCTCTCCTATTCACAATATACTTTGAAGAATGATAAGCATATAACAACCACCACATCAGTAGCAGCTAAATTATGCTAACTATTCAGGAAGAGTTTTATTCTCACACATTCTTCACTGCTACTGGACCTCTTAAATCCCATGTGTTTCTCTAGAGAGACAGGCTTTTCCTGAGAAGAATCTTCTGTGTGAATTTATGATGATAGCACTCTTAAAACAACAGCATATTCTGCAATAGGTACAAATTTGTGATTTGAATCACTTACATGGAAAACGAACATTAATTTCTTCATTGAGGCAAAATAGCTTCAGTGGTTAAAGAGGTTGGCAGGCTCCTAAGAGTTGTTCAAAATGTAGACAGTTCAGTCATTTTCCTCTGGATTTGCCAAATACTCAAAATTTGAAGAGTGCGAATGAGCTCAAGATATCTTAATGATTGATATAAATGTATATCTGGATGCTAGTCAAAAGCAATTCATTCATAACATTTATACAGCTAAAGTTTTCTCTCAGATGAACATGACTCCCATGGGGGTTGGAGAGAAGGCAACCCAGGACATAATGACAAATAATTTTTCTTATATTAGATGTAAAAAAATTTATAAAAAAAATTTATAGAGCAAAAACCAAGGGAGAAATAAAAAAAGCTATATTTGGGGAATTCAATCATGGTTTTGAATGGTAGCCTTGCTCTAACAAGCTGGGTAACCTTGGACTTCACTCTTTTGGGACTCAAGTATCTTATCCTTCTTATCTATAAAGTTAGACAAAAGGTAGGGCAGGAACCAATATGGGGAGTCTGACATAGCAGTCCCAGATAAAGTCCTGAACTTCAGACAGTAGTCTCTAAGAAGAGGAAGGGACTACATAAATTTAAAAGAGTAAAACTTCCAGGACTTAATATGTGATTAAATTTAAATGGTGAGAGAGGAAAGCAGGACACTCTAGGGTGACTTGTAGATTTCTGACATATATGACTTAGATGGTACCAATCACCTGGAAAGGAATGGAGGAGGCAGGTTTGACTCTGGCTTCTGTGCAAATTAAAATTTGAGGTATGTAGCGATGAGTCAGAGCTATGGGAGCCTTTTCTCAGAAATCTCTAAATTTCTTCTTTGAAAATTCAGTGTTCCAAATATTGTATCTGGTAAGATCAGGAAATACTTTATGTCTGTGGGCTCTTGCTGGAGGCACTGTTTAAGCTCTCTCTGGGGTGGTACCCTAGGTGGGTTCTTAAACTTTTTTGTGCTACTGATCATTTTGGCAGCTGTGTGAAATGAGCAGGTCCCCTTCTCAGGAGAATATTACAAATGCATAAAATAAAAACCATAGGATTACAAAGAAAACCAGTTAGACTGAAATTTGGGGGACTGAAGGAATTTACAATTACAACTATATCCCTCAAAAGAACTTGAGTCAGGAGACAGGGAGAGCCCTGCCAAGAAAATTATCCTTTCTGATCTTTGAACAAATACAATGAAACAAGTCAAATCCAGTTCAAAAGGCATTTTCCTTTCATTCCATGTTCTCTCTTAGCTGCCAAGTTAGAGAAAGATTTTCAAAGGGCAAAATTTAAACTTGCCATTAAGTGGTATCCAGAAAGTAATTGCTTCTTTTTTTTTTCTTTTTAGGTTTTATTTAAATTCAAGTTAGTTAACATATAGTGTATCATTAGTTTCAGAGGTAGAATTTAGTTTCATCACTTGCCTTTAACACCCAGTGCTCATTACAGCAAATACCCCCTTTAATGCCCATCACCCATTTACCCCATCCCCCCATTCACCTTCCCTCCAGCAACCCTCAGTTTTTTCCTTATAGTTAAGAGTCTCTTATGGTTTGCCTCCCAGTCTGTTTTTATCTTATTTTTCCTTCCCTTCCCCTATGTTCATCTGTTTTGTTTCTTAAATTCCACGTATGAGTGAAACCATATGGTAATATTTCTCTGACTGACTTATTTCATTTAGCATAATACATTCTAGTTCCATCCATGTCTTTGCAAATGGCAAGATTTCATTCTTTTTGATGGCTGCGTAATATTCCATTTTATATATGGGAAGAAGCTGGCTAGCAAAAACAAACTTGTTCAACTACTCAAGGACTGAGGATCAAAGAAAAGGAAATCCCCATCTCTAATTCTCTAATCTAATACTTTCCCATAAGAGTAGAACCTCACATCTTAGAAATGGATGCATGCATCTTCAATAGGAAACAGAAATAGTTACTATAGGAGAGGAATTTGTGCAGATAACTGAAAGACTAAGGGGCCAAATTTAGCTTAATTGAGCTTTGAGAGAAAAGAAAAATCTCTGTAAAGCTAAGTAAATTTACAAAGAAGAGCAAAGGTGAGATAATAGTTAAGACTTAGAGATGATTAAATATATGTTTATATATCAACATTTGATGTAATTTAGAGCAACATGATAAAAAAGATTTGCTTGGGTGGTAACTAATTATACCTACTCATTCTTTTTTTTTTTTTTTTTTAAGTAGGCTCCCCGCCCAGCATGGAGCCCAACTCGTGGAGCCCAGTGTGGGGCTTGAACTCATGACTCTGAGATCAAGACCTGAGATGAGATCAAGAGTTGGACACTTAACCAGCTAAGCCACCCAGGCGCCCCGACTGACTCATTCTTTTTAAACTTGGAAATTTGTTATAATCTAGTTTCTAGACCCAGAACAAAGTTCATGATCAGCTCCCTCATAGGCAATATTCATATATAGTTGACACTCAAATAACATGGGTTTGAACTGCAAGGGTCCACTTATATGTGGGTTTTTTCGATAAATACGGTACAGTACTGTAAATGTATTTTCTATTCCTTATAATTTTTTTTTTTGAGAGAGAGGGAGAGAGCACACACATGCACACACTTGAGTGGGGGAGGGGCTGAGGGAGAGGGAGAGAGAGAATCTTAAGCAACTTCCATGCTCAAAGCAGAGCCTGATCTAGGCCTCCGTCTCACTACCAAGAGATCATGACCTGAACTGAAACCAAGAGTTGGACACTTAACCAACTGAGCCACCCAGGTGCCCCTCCTTATGATTTTCTTAATAGCATTTTCTTTTCTCTAGCTTACCTTACTGTAAGACTACAGTATCTAATATATACATAGCATACAAAATACATGTTAACCAACTGTTTACGTTGTCAGTAAGGCTTCCAGTTAACAGTAGGCTATTAGTAGTTAAGTTTTGGGTGAGTCAACTTTTTAACTGCATGGGGGGCAGCAGTTCCCCTAACCTTCACATTGTTCAAGGGTCAACTGTACTTATTTTTTAAAGCAATTGAGGAAAAAGTCCACTCTTAAAATCATAAACACAAACATCAAAGTGTGACAGCCATGCCAAAAATAAAAATGAACTCACCCAAGGTCTTAAAGTTTTTCCATTACATAAAAATCTGTAGACAAGGAGAAATGTATTTCCTTTATTTTTCTTTTTCTTTTTTCTTCTTTTTAAACTTAGAATAGGTTTGATTTTATTAGGTCATTTGAATTTCAACCTGTATGAAGGATTTCCTGTTACTCCAATGTTTCCTTTCCTCTGGAGTTCAGAATGTAATCATAGGAAATACATATGCTCATGTATCATAGAGATTCCAGATCCCAGGTTTACTACAGAGTGACTGTGTGACCTCTGACAAGGCACCCAACCCCTTCTAGCCTTACATGTAAAAGGGGAAAAGTAGCACCAATTTCACATAGGTAGCTCAATGATAATGCACAGTGCCTGGAATTGAATGCTAGCTCATTGCCCTTACCAGTGCATGACTTTGTGGTCAGTTGTGCATGTTCAATGTCACATTTACCAAACACAATGGCAAATGACTCAAAGTCCCTTTCCAATACTCACCATGGTAAGGCATACGTAGCTCAATGATAGTGCACAGTGCCTGGAATTGGGAATGCTAGCTCATTGCCCTTACCAATGCATGACTTTATTTGTGGTCAGTTGTGCATGTTCGATGTCACATTTACCGAACACAACAGCAAATGACTCAAAGTCCCTCTCCAATACTCACCATGATAAGGCTGGTCACAGAGGTTTTCCTCTGTGCCTCCTTTCTTCCAGACATCAGATGAATTTGTACTTGCTACAGCATGTCCATTCTTCAGAGCCAGTCTGTACTGGGCAGCTCCATACAGAGAGTGGTGCTCACATTTCCACCAGAGTAAGGCACTGGAGTCACAGTTGAACATTCTCAAGGAATCTGTGGGTTTGGTAATATCTAGCCCGAGGCACTTCTGGGATTGCAAATGAAAGAGTCGATGCTGAGACACCCACTTCCATAACACGTCCCTACTTCCACCACAGTCTGTTGCTACGATCCAGTCATTCAGTGGCTTGATGCACTTGCCCATGTTTTCATTGACGATAGTGAATGGATCATTGCCTGAGTCAAGACAGACAGTCAAGGAAGGCATTTCAGAATTCTGAACTGTGTGGTCAGTGTGCCTTGGCCCCTGCTGGCTGAGGAGAGTCTGAACACCATTGGACTATTCCCACCCTCCAACCTCTATAAACTGCAATGCACTACACAAGGTCAGAGGACAGTGGTAGCCAGAGAGGCAGTATAGTGTGTGTTAAGAGCATGAGCCAGTCTGCCAGGGTTCCTAGTCTGCCTCTGCTACTTATTACCCATGTGATCAGGGCAAGTTATTTAACCACTATGCCTCAGTTTCCTCCTTTGTAAAATAGTACTTCATATGGAAGATGTTAGGTTAAAATGAGCTCATACCCGTAAAGCACTTAGAAGAGTATGTATATTTGTTATTGTTATTCCTGAAATATTCCCCCTCCCCTTTATTTAATGAGATGAAGAAGCTCCTTAGTTTTCATCTTCCTTAGACAGGTGGTCAATGAAAAATATCCTGAACCTATTCAGGACCACAGTTCTGTCTTGCTTATACTTTACCTATTATGGCAGGGTAAATTATTACATGGCATTACCGTGTCTCAGAGGAGATGGGGAGACTTCTGAGGGGGCAGAAGTAGAATAGTGGGGTAAAGGGATGAGAGGAAATGAAGGTCTGGATTCTGAGGATAGGAGAGACCTGTGGTCTGCTCTACCATAGCACCTTCAGGAACGTGATGGGAAGCCCGTGGGGAGGGGTTGGGCGGGTGCTGCTGACTGTGTGGATCACCTAGGGAGGTTGAACCTGAGCTCCAGAAATCACCTGAGATACAGAATTCAACACCCAGTAGGTTTGGATAGTGGGAAACTCAGAAGCAACGAGTGTAAGCTGAAGGTTACAGGAGGGACCTCCCTGAATATTTCCCTGCAGTTTCTCATGAATTAGGGAGACCTCAGTGATGACAGAAACTGAAGTTCTGTTAACTTGGTGGAATGGGACTTCAGAATAAAATTTATTTTGATTTTATAAAAATAAAGTAATGCATTGTTTCTTGCACACCTGAGCTTGTGGAACAGGATTCACATCTGTTACAACAAACTACAATCGAACAATTTGGCCAGTGCTTTTACAAAGAAAAATTTTTTGAAGTAATAGCACAAAAGTTCATGTGGATGAGAGTAAAACTGAAATATTTTAGACAAATTTAAACAATAATTGTCAATAAACCAAAGGGTTCAGCAGAAGGACCTGTAAAACTTTAGTTCCCAAAAAGCACTTTCATTATGATGCCAGCTTCACAATTGCTGATTTTACTGGTGCTAAATACCTTTTCTAATAATAATTCCCAGGCTTTCAGAGTTAAAAATTCTCATACCAAGGACTTGAGGGGAAATTTCATCATGTAAATAATAACTATAAAATCAAGTCACGTTTCAGCTTGAACTTTAAAGAGAATTTTTTGTTTTAAGCAGCAGCAGTAGCAAGAAGAGAAACAATAGGAACCACCACAAAATCCTGTAAAACATTAAGCTACTTTTGCTTTCACATTTTAAAATATGACACAGGACTGCAGTTAGGTGTCTTTGTCATAGCAGCTTCCATCCCTCACTCTTTCTTCTTTGACATCTCTCTGCCATTCTCTACTTTATGGACACCATTTGGGAGGACAGTTAACATAAAAAGGAAAACATACTATCTTAGATTATCACTCACAGTTTCTCCAATGTCCTCCTACATATTCAATATCCACTCAGACCCACAAGGGTCTTTCAAACTATTCTCTCTTTCCCAAACTATTCTCTCTCACTTCTCCAAAAAAATCTTGCACTCCAAAGTATCAGCAATTACTGCAGGAAAAAAGAAGTCTGCTTCTGCAAAATAGGCATCTACTACCCTTGCTGGAACCTTCCCCTCCCTTGCCCTGTGGTCTCATTGCTCTCTTTCTTGGGCACTTTGCTCTGTGCCCCTTGAACCCAGGTAGGTGAACTGGACTAACAGTAGCTTTGTTACATTTGCAGTTTGGAGTTTTGGACTTCTCAGGTTGCCTTTGCAGAATCCAATAGGCTACCACAGCTGTTAGTATAGTGGAACAAGCAGTGGAATAAGGAGTTAGAGGTCCTAGATTGAAGACCTACCTCAGCTACCAGTTAGCTGGGAGACCTTGGGGAAGTCGCTTAATCTCCCCAGGGTCTCTGTATCTCCAAATGTAAGATGAAAGCAGAGATAACATAAGATATCTAAGCCACTTTCAGTACTAACATCCTATGCTTACACAAGATAACAGTTTTCTTAGCCTTGTAGGTTTTACCAGTCTTTGCTAAGTTCATTGTATATTATTCTTGAAGAGATGTCCACAACTTTATTATGCCCTGCTAATGCTAGTAGCATTTTAGGTCATTCTAATCCTATTAGTATCAGGCATGGGCACTTAGGTAACAGTGATGCTTTACAAATACTCTTTGGAAGAGAAAAAAAAAATTTGTCCTTTCCCATTTACTCTATGTGTTACTTCTAGGACACCCATAGACTTAACAAGCTTGTAGAAACTCTGAAAGACTACAGGAGAGATGTGGAGTAGCATGGAGAAGGTATGTTAAAGAAGAGTTGCCAAACTTACCTAATTGCACCATCTATGGTCATAAATACTTGCCTTATTCTAAATCTGTCTTTTAACCAAGTATGTATAATCAATGTTTGACATCTATAGTGGTCACTTAGCACAAACATTAATTATTGATATGATTTAAGGAAACTTGCCATTAGCCTTCATATATAATGTATGTGTAAGCATTCATACATAATACATAAGGTAGGGAGCGTCTTGTCTTCTCATGATGTTTCCCCATATTTTCCGTACCCTTAGCAGAAGCTGTTCAGTCTTGTGACCCTATTGGGATGGTTGACTGAAGAGTGGGAAGGACTGAAAATAATTCCTTTTTAAGGAAAATTTGTTAAATAAGGGTATATAAAATATTTCAGAAATGTATTACACTTTGAAAAGGTAATTACAGAGCAACTTAAAAACAGATTCTTTATTGACAACCTTATGCTGTATCTTGCTCATGTTACCTTACATTGGTCCTAAATGGAATTTTAATGTTTACTTCCACACACAATATTTGGGCAAATCTAAAAGGCAGAGGTTGATGAAAAGAAGTCTCATCATCCCTAGTAGCAATTTTTATATGCTTCATTTTGTATAAACATTCTAGTGGTGTCTGAGAGGAAATAACTAAGTAGCATTATCATATATTGAAAATGAATTTTTAGTATGCCACATTCATCAAAGGAAAACCATCTCCTATTGCCTAATCATTAGGTAACCTTTGTCTTACTTAAACCAGAGAGCTTTGCACATTCCAAAGAGAAGCTGGACATCAACATTTTATGATCACAGACAAATGGAGGGGGAGATGGAGGCAGAAGGATGAAGATTGCAGCATTTTTAGTTTCAGGGGAACTTCTACAGCTTACAATGTTAAGCATTTTGTGGTCACCACCACATGTGCAGAGTGTACAGGTGGAGTAGGAAAGAATCAGAAGTCCGGGTTTGCCAGTTCAAAAACAGGTCCTGAAGTGACCTTGGGTCCATGACAGTCTGCTAGGAGTCAGAAAGCTTTGGGGTCAGATTGGGTGGTGTGGGCTGGTGAGAACCTCAAGAGTCTCAGAAGGATTGGTTTACTTCAAGCTGTTAGCTCTCCAAGGAGGCAAAAAAGTAAATAAGCATTGGCATTTCCCCAAGGACACAGAGGAACTCCTTCAGCACCTGAGCAACCCAGACCATCTGCACAAACCTAGCTGCATACATGTGACAGAGTGCATGCCATTACCAGCATTGTGAAGCTGACACACTGCCAAACAAGTTACTCAAATGGCTGGGGTTTCAAAATTCCAGTGCTTCCCTTTATGGGACCACAAGTCTGGTCTGAGGGTGAGTGTAAGCTGGCCAGGAAAGCTGCTAAGCATGAGGAAGGATGCAGGAAAACAAATACCTATGAGGATATGAGGACCTAGTGCAGGGAAAATGGAGTTAAGCTGGTGCTCTTTGGTTTTGGTTGATGAGAAAGGCCAGGGATTGTAGAGAATGCAAAAATTAAGGCAATCCGGAATTCCGTGGGGGAGACAAAACAGTAAGACTAAAGCAGAAGTAGATGGAAACCAAGACTTCAGTGATTGAAAGGTTAGTGTGTTTTGACTGTAGTTAGTTATGGCAATGACATTTCTCTCCCTGGATTGTGGGGCAGGTGGAATAGAATTCTCACAGCCAGTAAAGGACTTTTGGGAGTTTCCACCAGGGAGGGTCAAAGAAGAATGGAGAAGGGTGAATCAGATCAGTATTCACTAAAAGGTCCTTGATGTAGATAGGGTGATGTTATTCACACTCCGGGAAGCTTCTTCCCATCACTCTCTGAAAAAAGTCTAAATCTGGCAGTAACTTAGTTTAGCTGCCACAAGAAAAGAAGAGCCACAAGGGGGAACCTACAGTTTTCAAAAAAATTCCTTGCCCATCTTTTACTTCCTCATACAGGCAAATTAACAGAAGTGGTAGGTGGTGATGGCTCACTGACTGCCCACTATGCAGCACAACTAAGAAAGTCCTCAGGGAACCTTTTGCCAAGGCAAAAAGAAAGTAAAAGCAAACTCCGGTTGCTGCCAGGGGGTATGGTGGGGCTGGCACTACCCAGAGCATCACCATCGAAGGGAGTCTATTCCTGGTCCTGCTTCCGCAGTTAGAGGCAGGAAGGAGGTCCCTGGGCAAGCGACCAGAGCTTCAACGTGCGGCCCTCGGCCTCGAGGGAGTGTTTTGGAGCTGATACACCCATTCATTAGAAGAAAGGATCGCTGCTCAAGGCTTTCGGGGAGGGCATCATAACGGAATTACCATCATGGTTATTTTAGGAGACATAGCTTAACCGGACTTCCTTTTTGACTTGCACCTTTGGCTATCGTGCAGCGAAGTCGGGCAATCATTAATCATCCTTGGCGCTGTGGGTAGACAGTTCCTCTAGACACTGAGTGGCCAAGGTGACCAAGAGGCGAAGGAGGGGCGAGATGGGCTGGATGGAGTTTGGGGAGTGCTGAGGAGCCTTTTACTCTAGGGAAGCAAGATATTAGAAGCGAGAGGACGGGGCGGGGGGAGGCGGAGGGAGAGGGGGACGGGCGCAGAAGACTGTGCCTCTTCTCTAAGGTGGCCTCTTCTTTAGCAAGAGAAAGGCCCTGCTACTCCACGCCCCACCCCGCCCTCCACCCGGCGCCCGAGGGCCATGGAGTGCCTTCTACTCAGACCTCCCCTTCGGCTGGCTCACTTCTTGGGTGCCAGACCCCCGAGGCAAGCAGAGTTGACGAGACCCGGAGCGCAGCCCTAACCCGAACCGAGGAAAGCCGGCAGGCCTGACAACGTCGAGGGCCCTAGCCGCGGGTGGGCTGGAGCGCCCGCGGTTACCTGTGCGGCCAGAGGGCTCCGCAAGACCGAAGCACCTGAGGAGTAGCACGAGGAGCTCCGCCGCGCGGCGAAGGGTCGCCCAGCGCGTCCTCATCCTGAGCCGGCCCAAGCAGTCCAACCGGGTCCTCAGGCGCACGCGGCACCCACCCGTCCTGATGCGCCCAGCCTGCGCTTTTGCCGCCAGCCTCCCCGGGGGGTCCGGCCACGCCCCCTCCGCCCTCGGCCAATCTGGCGAGGTGGGGCGGGGCAAGGGCGTGGAATTGATGGCGGGAAGACGGCGAGCTGAGAGTTAGGCTCACCTTCTGGAGGACCGACCCTCCCGGGGGCGGGAAGTGCGCGTGGAGCGAGAGAGCAGTGTCTCGCACACTACCGGGCTTGGGGGTCCTGGCTCCCTCCTTTTCTTCAGTAAAGTTGAGGAGACGCGGCACTTGCTGGGACTTGGCAACACCCTGGTGGGTGGGTTGGGTCTGTCTAGGACCTTGTTCTCTGTGTAGCACACCTCAGTGTGGGAGGACTTCATTGCCCGGCTGGGCTGGAAAGGCACCCACAACCTCTCGGACCCCAAAGGCGGAAGTCTGCGCCCGTAGGGTTGCTGCTGCGGTCAAGCCAAAGAATTCAGGTGGCCTTGGTTGCGTCTTGTGTATTTGGATAGCGCAAACAAAGGCACGCTGCAGTTTCACCCACAATTGTTAAAGAATTAAAAGCAAGAGCTATTTGAGTGACCCTACAATCAATACTTCCAACGATTTAGGCCTTATAACCATCTGACCTTTGCACGTAAGCTCTTTTCTTAATAATTAAATAATAATAATAATAATCCAGTAGAAATGTGGAAGTCTGCATCCCAAACCAGCGATGTGAGAGTAATATTTATCCTCTCCCTGTGGGATCTGTAGTCATTATAAATAGGCTGACTTAATAAGTTGCCTGGGTGTGAATGTCCTGTAATTTCAAACCTCATAAAAGCACATGGTGTGTACCCAGAATCACCTTCATTGCTGTCCCCCAAGATTGAATTCTTCCATGAGGAGAGGAACATCTAGGTTGCCTTTCCTTTTTTTTAAAAGATTTTATTTATTTGACAGAGACACAGCGAGAGAGGGAACACAAGCAGGGGGAGTGGGAGAGGGAGAAGCAGGGAGCCCGATGCGGGCCTCAATCCCAGGACCCTGGGATCATGACCTGAGCTGAAGGCAGATGCTTCTCTACTGAGCCACCCAGGGGCCCCTAGGTTGCCTTTCTTGATTCCAGCTGCCAAGCCTTCACTAATGGCTCCCAAATCTACCTTGGGTCTGTTCTCTCCCTACCGGGGCCTTTTAGTTCAGTAGATATGTTAAGCACTTGCCATTATGAGGATGGGCACCTCCCAGGATAAGATAAAAAGACAACATCCCTGCCTGCTCAGGTTTACTGAGTACTGGGGGAGACTGAGGCACACACAGTTTAACTCAGGGCGGAATGAATGCGGAGACTGGACAAAGCTTCAAGGAAGACAGCACCTAAACTGGGCCTTGGGTAGTGGGTAGGAATTTGACCATGCACAGCTACTTGGAGAAAAATAGTGACAGAATGGCAGGAAAATGCAAAGCTATGTCAGAAGAGGTCAGTCCAGTATGGCCATCCTGCAGGGTGCATGTGTGTGTGTTGAAGGTAGTTGTGGTGGAGGACTTAGTGAAAATGACAACAGAGAGGTGCGTTGTGGCTGTGTTGTGAAGTGCTTTGAATATGATGTCAAAGACATTGATTTGATTCTCTAGAACTGGTCAGTGGAAAGTTCTGAGTAAGACAATCTGCTACTGCTCTGATTCCCTTTGCATTTGTGGCTGCTTGCCTTTCTGATCCTGCCCAGCTTGGAGCTAGTTGGGGGCAGGGGTCTTACCTTCTCATTATTACCGTCCTACACTGAGCACCAGGCCTGACCCAGAGTAAGCTCTCAATAAATATGAGTTTACTTAATTAATAAATTCCTAGAGCCACGACCTTAGCGTAGGGCCACAAAAGCTCCTGCTTGCATTATGTTGCAGTAATTTCTCAACTGACCTTCTTGCCAGCAATTTCCCTCTCAGGAAAAGGAATCTTTGTTTGGAGTATGTCACCTTTCTTCTACTCACATCCTTTCAGTGCTAACAGGGAGTTCAGGAGGCTTGTGAACCCCTGAAATTATATACAGCTTTATGAATACACTTAAAAAAATTTTTTTGAGAAAGAAAAGAGGTCCAGGGCTTTCATGAGAGTCTCAAAGAAGCCCATAATACAAAAAGAAAACTTATGTAGGATAAAGCAAGCTCCTCTACGATCTGAACTTTTAATTACCTTCCTATGTCACTCCTTGGTTCAAGCAACCTGTCCGATCTGTTTTGCCCTTTCCTATCTCTGCCCATATAGCCATATTTTCTCCAATCTAGAATGCCTCTTTTCCCTCTCTCATGAGTTAGTCCTACCCTTCCAGTTAAGGCTCTGCTCAAATCTCACATTTTATATAAAATGTCTCTAAGAAGAACCTTAACCCTTGGGGATTCCAAACATCTGGATATTGTTGCATTGTGTTCACTTGGCATTTAACACGTATGCTTCCTGCTGCTTGAGTAGTTGCCTCTTATCTGCGGTTTTGTTTTCTGTGGTTTCAGTTACCCTCAGTTAACCACAGTGCAGATGTTCCTTCTTCTGATGTCTGATCAGAAGGTCAATAGTAGCCTAAAACTATGTCACTACATCATTCAGCTCATTTCATCTCATCATGTAGGTGTCTTATAATCTCCCATCATTACTAGGAGGATGAGTATAGTACAATATCTTGAAAGAGAGAGAAAGAAGAGAGACCACATTCACATAACTTTTATTGCAGTATATGTTATAATTGTTTATTTTTTATTACTAGTTACTGTTGTTAATCTCTTAATCATACCTAATATATAAATTAAGCTTTATCATGGTTATGTATAGGAAAAACATAGTATTTATCGGAGTTGGTCCCATCCTTGGTTTCAGGCATCTGTTGGGGGTCTTAGAACATATTCCCCATGGATAAGGGGGGACTACTGTACTTTTTCTGTAGTTACATGTGCACTGATACTCCACCTAGGTTATATGTCTTAAATAAGTATTTATTGCCTATGGTGATAATAGAAAGCAGTGTATCCTTCAAGTCTCACCCTGAATGTCACTTCCTCAAAGAAATCTTTCCTGACTCTGCAGTCTAGGTCAATTTCCTCTGTGATAGGTTCTCAATGCATCCCACACTTTGTTTTGATAGCACTTATCATAGCTGGATTGAACAATTATTCACTTGCTCACTTGCGGAATGTCTATCTCCCTTTCCAGGCTGCAGGACCCATGAAGGCAGTGTCTGTTTAGGCACTTCTGTGTTTCCAGTACCTGGACCATGATTTGCTGGATCAGTGAATGAATAAATACACAGTATGTGCCTCATAAAGGATGAATGAATAAATAAATACATGGTAAATGCCTGGTGCAGGCAACAGGAGATCTACGCATTTAAAAAAGGGAGAAATCAGCTGGGGTGGATGGGTGGGAGGGTCTTCAAGCACTAGGTTGAATGTCCTTGGATGAGTAACAGTCACTAAGAGGTGGTGGGGAGGACACCACATGGCTGAGGCCATGATGTGAGCAAAATAACAGACATCTGCCACCTGCCAGGTGCCAGGCCATGTGCTGAGCATTTCCTGTGTGCTCTTGCATCTAATAATTAGCCTATGAATGAAATATTATTATCCTTATTTTACAGATGTGGAAACTGAGACAACATAGACAAGACTGATATAACTAGGCCAAGGTCAATAGATAAGTAAGGATACCAAAATGGACATCTAACTATAGAACTTGCATGAATGTGTGAGAGTGTTAGTATTATTTTATTCCCCATCACAATTAGGAAGAGGGAACATGAGCTTTTAGATCTCTAAAGTGAAATTTTAAATTATAAAATGTGTCATACCTCAAAAAGAGTAGCTAGGCTGTGGGTCTCCTCCTGATCATGTCCACCTTACTCTCACACATACGTAACCCCTCCTCAGAGTTATCATTCCTTTCTTTATAGTTTCCCCATATATGATGCATTCCTTAAATAGTCTATATAACTTTGCAAGTCTTTGAATTTTATGTAAGTAGAATCATTTCAAGTTTTTTTGGGGGGCACTTATCTTTTTTGCTCAAAATCATGCCTGTGACATTTATCTGTGTTGGTGTGTGTAGCTATAGTTTGTTCATTTTTATGCAATGTTCCATTGTAAGAATAAAGCATACTTTATCCATTCTCTTGCTGGTAGACATTTGAGTAGTTTCCAGCTGGGTAATTTGCTGTAGTTAGCAATGCTTCTGTGAACATTGTTGTACATGTCTCCTGGTGCACATGGCTAGATTTTCCTGAGAGTGTGTTCTTAGAAGTGGAATTCCTAGAGCATAGGGTATGTTCAGCATCAACATTATTAGACAATGCCAGTGTGCTTTCTAGTTTGCACCCCCAGCATTATGTACAAACATTCCCGCTGCTGAACATCCTCAATACTTGGCATCTTAACATTTTTGGTGGGGAGCAAAATGGTATCTCATTGTAGTTTAAGGTTGCATTTTTCTGATTACTAATGCAGTTGAACATATTTTCTTATGTTTATTGGTTATTTGTATTTCCTTTTCCAATTTTTATTCAGGTTATTTGCCAGTTTTCTCTTAGATCCACTTTCTGCCCTCCCCTGCTTTGAATCTCAAGGGCCTACTCTGCATTCTCAGGCTCCTTTTCTCACTACCTTCTGGTTAGGTTCAGCCGATGAGAATTACTGGCAGGAAATGGAAGTTTGGGAGGGGGAGAATCCAAGGTGTTTCTCTCCTCTATGCCTTGGGAGCATGCCAAGCAGTGGCTGTGTCTCTTCTGTGGTTCCACCTCCTACCTGGAAGCCCCATCCTTTGTGGTCCAGTTCCTACCAGGCAACTGTGCTGTGCTTCCAGCATGTTTGGGTGTTTCCTTCTCCAAGGTTCTAGCTCCCACAGGGTAGCCCGGGCTCCTATTTGGATAACACTAGTCCTTCTCTGTTCCTCAGGTCCCAGGGGTAGTAGTAGCTTCTTGTAATTGGTACTTTC